TTCTAGTAGTTATATTTCTTTTTTGTAGCCATAAATGAGATTTCTACATCTTTTTCGTATATTGTTATACACCAGTATGGGATTAAAATATTTGGAAATTTTGGATTTACTTTGGTTCCTCATTTCATATGTAAAGTGAGGATGAGGCTTGTGAATCAAATCCCTTCAGTTGTTTCTGTGTGCATCATTTTCCAAGTGGTTGAATGCTTTTAAAATTGGAAGTAAAAGACAGTACACATGATTGCAAGCTCTACTCTTTTGAGCAGACCTGTAAACTTGGGCAGTTTTCACATTTTAGGTTATAAATTGTATTATGCTACTTAGTCAAGATTTCAGATTCATAGAGTAATTTTTGTATAGAGAGCTAATTTTTGGATGCTTTAGGTATTAATTAGAAGTACATTGATACATCAGTCCGATATCAGATCAGCACCAATATAAAGAAAATTGACTGTATTGGAAATTGGGCTGATGTGGCTGATTAATGTGGCCAATAAATGCCCTGTGCATGCATGCAGCTGCAGTGCAGCATGTAGGTGGCAAGGAGCACAGCCCAGCAGCTTGGAGAGCTGTGTGCAGCTGATAAGTCTGTGGTGGAAGGGACGTGGGAGCAGGAGCAGATCAAGGCCTCCATGGGGAGTGGGGCCAGGGCAGGCACTGTCCTGCCTGGACGAGGCAGGGTGCAGAAAGGAGCTGTAGTTCATTGGGGGTGGGGGGAGGGGCACCTCAAGAGTGCATGGGGAGTGTGCACAGATCTGGAAGCACCACCCCCCCATGACCTCCCAGGGGGCACACAGCAGTAGACGCTGCCCCCCTGCATCTCCCCAGACGAGCCATGGCTCTGTCCTGCGCCCACCCTGTCCCGACTGGACAGCACCCCTGCCCCAGCCCCATTACCTCCCTCATTGCAGGGGCCTTGATCTGCTCCCACCCCTTCCCTTTCCCCTTTCACCACAACAGACTTGCCAGCTGGACACTGCTCTTCAAGCTGATGGGCTGTGTATCAGAAATTGGATTGGCATCGGCTGATATGCCACCATAAAAATCGGTATCAACTCCAAAAATCTCTATCGGTGCACCCCTAGTATTAATCTAATCAGACTGTAGAGTTCAGGTATCACTACCTGAAATATTAACATGTACCCTTGCTGACTAATTTCAAAGGTTAGTGTTTATTAAGCTTATTACTTGCATTTGCCAGACTTTAAACTTAGGTCTGGAAATCAGCACTTTGCTCTCAAAACCCCCCCACAAAAGAAAAGTAATGCTAGTATACAAATTGAGTTCAACCTACTGGATCTCATCACAGCTTTGTGACAAACTTCTAAAAAATACCCTTGCTATTGTCTTGTCTATAGCTTTATGAAATCTGAGCGGAAACTTGAGAATGTGCACATGTATCTACTTTTATTTTATGGCATTTAAAGTGGTATCTTGAAGTTTGTCTTTAGGGGATAAATTGCATTTCTGCCTTTTCTTTTTTCTTTTAAGGTTGTGGAAGTGACACAGACTCTGAACTGCCTTACAAAATGCACAATTCCCATAAAGATGACATGTCCTATCGCAGACTTTCTGCGGTTGAACCAAAGCCTCTTACAGATTTCAATCGTTTCTTACCCAGTAAAAGTAAACCGGCAGCATATATGCCAGCACCTTTGAGGAAAAAGAGGATAGAAAAAAATGAGGACAACAGAAGAAGCTGGGCAAGTCCTGTCTCCACCGAGTCAGATGGAACACTTTCAAGGTACTAGCAGGTTATCTGAGTAAAGTAGGTCTTTTTTTTTCATTGTGACATATTGGCAAATACAATAAGCTTATTCATTACACCAAAGAGAATACATCTTTTCTGTAATCCAAATGACAAAATTGCAGATAGTTTAAGACTTAGGTTCTTTGTGTACCTAGTAGTATGTGGATAACATTTTGAAAATGGTACAAATTTAACAGTGGGAATTTATGATCTTAAAGTGGAGTGATAAAATGTCTTAAATACGTTTTACTTTTTGGCTAAAGTGTCGTCCCAAAATTCAGTTGTTATTAATTACTAGCTATGTTTTTTTTAAAAATGCATACTCTTTAGATTAATGTCTGAAAACAGTCCGATACTTCTGTGATTTCACCATCTTCACTTTGTTCCTGCTTTGATCAACCTCAGTGGGCAAAGAAAAGATGCTTTAGCAACCTGCCAAAATAGCAGAGCAGAATGCATGTTTACAGATCCAGCTTCCCTGCAGATGATTTCCAAGTATGACAGTGGTTCTGAATCAGAAGATGAAAGAAGGCTGCCTGACGTGGACTTGGATGATTTGGCAAAACGTAGATTCTTAATAGTAAAAAAGAGCCCAGTGAGCCTTGCTGCATCTGCACGTCTTTATATGTTGCACAAAGACTCTCCTAAGTCTTTTTCACGAGAGAGTTATCCAGCTCATCCATTAGCTGTGCTACTTGAACCAATGAGGTCAGACATACTAGTACTAGATACAAATAACTATCCTACTAAAATTGCAACCTCTAAGAAGTGTAAACTAACAAGCATTTCTAATAACTTTTAACATAGCCAGTAAATGACTACATCTTCTGTAGCTGAATTCTTATTCTTTTCAGGTCAAATAAGATGCTATTGTAACCATTTAACTTTGTTTTAACTCTGAGGTAATGGAACAGGGAGCTAATTTGCTTCATTTACAAGGCAGAACTTTTGCAACAAAAAGCATGTCTCTTGCTCATGTTACATTGTTGTTCCTAAAATATCTTCATTGATTGGATATTTTGAACAGTAACCAGAAGAGTCAGAGACACTCGGACCTTAAAGTGGAAAGCAATCCAACCATCCACATTCATTCAAAATTTTCTGAGTATTCTGATGATGGCGAAGAGAGAGCCATAAGCATCCCAGATATTGAAAAGGATGATCTATATGTTCGCAAGCTAAACTCAGCAGTGACAAAAGCAATGGTTTCTTTTGACAAGTTTCTTCCTAAGTTTTGGACTCCAGAAGAATTAGAATGGAAAAAAATTAAGAAATATTCTTCCAAACCTTGGTATAAGGAATTTCAGGGGTTCAGGTGTGTGTTTATGCATGCTCCTGTTATTTTTCCTGTATGTACAACCTTTAACTGGAGTGTTGCTTAAAGTGTGTGGCTGCATCCAGAAACTGACTTTTTTTTCATCATCATCTCCACTGGCTTCCTTTTGATAGCAGCTGAAGGTTTAACAGCATTTTTAGTGGAGGTTTTGTGCAGTTTTCTCTGACAGTGGAATTTAATTGATATGTTGTCTGTGACAAGCTATAGCACTTTTCCCTCTGTGTGCTGTGCTCCAGTTATTCTAAATATTTCCTTACGTTCCCTCCTTTTCATTCCTTTTGCTACTCTACAGCCAAAAGAGATCAGATTCTGAAGATGAGGATTCAGTCTATAAACAAAGCAGTGCTGCTATTGGTAATGAACCAAGGCTAAGTCTTGATTTGAACAGCCATTATGGAAAGGATCCAAACCATACTAAACAAACTGCTGAATATGCGCGAAAATCTCTGTCACAAATGGCAGAAGGCAGAAAGATGGAGTCTTCTGATCAACCCAGGTTGATATCATTGCATAAACTTGCACGCCCCTGCTGCATCAAAGGACCCTACAAGTTATGCAGCAGTTAAATTAATTTAATGGGTGTCGCCTGCAATATTGCTGGTGTACCAAATTTAAGTGCAGAAATACAATAAATAGCAACTTGACTACCTAAATGTAAAGGTCATAGCAAACTACAAAAGATTATTTTGTGCCTGAGAATGCGATCTCTTTGTTTCTACAATGGTGGATGTGCTGTCTTGACACTTTTAGAGTGGTGGACATGCTGCAGCGTTGTAATTGGAGAAAATGCTGAATAATGTATGGGTGTTAGTCTAAATATTGCAATTGTAAAACAAATATGCTTCTGAATACTTTTGTCTTGATTCAACTTTTCTTTTGCCACTTAATGATATTCTATCTTCCTCCTTTTTATGTGCTTCAGTCAGTTTTCATTACTTCAGGCCCTGCAAAAATATACTGACTACTTGTCTTCTGAAACAAAGACCAAAATTGATCCTACTTCTGGCCCTAGGCTCGTAACATGCAGAAAGAATGTTTCTTTTACACCAGGATGCAGTCAGAAGGAGACTGAGAATGGAGAACTGTACCCAGACTTGGAAAATGATGATTTATTTGTACGGAGGACTGGTGCTTCCCATGTGAATCCAGTTGTTCTTCAGGATCCTGACTATTTTAAAAAATCCTCTGAGCAAGAACCTTCTCTAGAGGGTGAAATAATTTTACAGCCCAGAGAAGAGCAAACTGTGATTCCAGACTTAGAAAAAGATGACATGATTGTTCGTAAAGCCCAAGCACAGAAAAAAGCAGTGCCTTTATCAGGTGCTCCAGACAGATACCATCCTGCACTCTTTCCTGATCCTTGGAGTCTTCCAGAGGAAATCCGGTCCAAGTTCCTTTGCTTACTTGAGAAGAGCAGCATGTTGCAAGAGAAAAAAAATGCTGGTGTGGTGTTATCACCCTCTTCACGACAGAAGGATGATATGTTGACTCGAAAGATTGACTCCTGGAAAGTAGGAAGCATTGTGCAGCCGATCAGTTTTATACCAGGTCCATGCAGTGAAGAAGACTGGAAAAAATGGGAAGCTATCCGAGAAGCCAGCAAAGTTAGACACAAGAAGCGGCAGATGGTTGAGAGGTCAGGTTGTGTATCTGCACAGACTAAGTTTGTATCTGAATTATTGGAACTGTCCCTGTTTAAGGAAAGCATCATCTTGTACTGATCCATGCATGCAAGTGTGAAGGCTTCAACATATGTATTTAGTTATGTAATCCACAAAAAAGCTTCATTTGCTTTCATTAAATTTTGCTTTGGGCTGCAATACCATATTTTCAACCATAATTAGGATATTTCATGTTCCATTATGACTGCTGGTAACTTCTATCAAGATACCAGCAGTGTCTCAGATTAATATACTTCTTTTTCATGGCTGAACAGGCACATTCATTGATTACTCAAGAGACCATAGAAGCTGAGGTGTAGGTTTTCAATATAATGTTCCTGAAGCCCATGGCACATGCTCATGTCAAGTCACTCTGTGATCTGATCATGCGGCATGGCAGGTGTGATTGTTGGGACTGGGGATCGGATCCCAATCGCACCCTTTGCCATTGCCTTCATGATCCTGAGTTCCCTCTGCACTGACAAGTTGAAAGCCGGGTGTCTGCTCCCCCATGTAACCTGGGACTGCCCTGGAGCTGGGACCAGCAATCAGCTGTTTGTCATCCTTGAGTCTGTTTGAGGGTTTCCTCCTGTGGAAGTTTAAATGCTGTTTTCAGCAACTCCAGTAGGACTATGGAGAGTAGGGTTGCTGAAGATTTTTCCCTACCAGAGACTGTAAAGTGTAAGTGAATGGTTTCAAGTTGCTGGCATCGGGTGCATGTGTACCACCCTTGACATTTATCCCATGATTAATATGTTAACTGTGGTATAAATGTAATGTGTAGAGAGGCCCTGAAGTACATGAATGCTTTGATTCTTGAAGGGTGTTGGTAATGCCCGTGAGCTAGGATTAAAAAAGGTCCATAAACTAATTTTTCACAGCTGTAGGCCTGATATCTGAGGTAGAAAACACCCGTAACCCTATGCCCTTTAAGGAAACCTATGCTGAAAAGAGAGGGTGCATACGTATGGCGCTAATTTAGTTTCCACTGGAATATCTTCACTCTCCCAATCATAACATGTTCCCTGCTTTCAGATATACTCTTTTTTTAATTAATGTTCCACTGCTCCATCCCTGGGGTGATGAGAACCTCTCTCTCCAGTCTGCGCTGTAACTACTGCTCTTTTTCAAATGTCATGCTCAGTCCTGCAGAGTGGTTTTTTCTGAGTTTGTTCTTAGCACTGAAAATACGGCATTGCGAGTTGCAGTTTTTCATGTTCTGCGTCCTTCATTTATGATTGATACATTTTCTTGTTCCAGCCAATACTTTTGTTGTCTCACTTTATACTTCAGCTTCACACAGTTAACCAAATGCAAGAAGTGCTTAGCAGTATATCTCAAATATTTGAAAATAATTGAGCTGTTCTAAGGATTTTTCATTAAAAAATATTTTTTAGTAAATAAAATGCCTTTACTAATGTTTTGTATTTTAAATACATCCAGCTGGATGTATTTGGGTCTGTGTCATGTGTGTTAAGCTGATTACTTTTGGCATTTGTTTAATTCACTTCATTTATTGTGTGCCTTAAAACCTAGGAATGGGTGAATTAATTGGAACCAAAGTAGAAATTTTTGTTAGGACTGTGTGGTTTTAATTTTCATTTATTGAAACAGTTGTGGTTTGCATGTATTCCTTGTGGTTTGGCAGTGCTGGAAGAAGTAATTCACAGTCTTTCCAAAGATAGAAGCACTAGAAATTGGGATGGAGAGGTTTGTTTCAAAAGTTTATGAACTTGATTTGCCAAAGTGTGTGGTTTCTGAAGTTTCTGTCTAGCATTTGAACTGTGGCGTGCTCTAAAAAGCTTGCAAGCCCTAACCATTTGAGGTTCACCCATTGCTTTACTCAGAGCAGTTGCTTACCAAACTTTTTAATGTTCTCTTGCTTATCGTGGAAGATGCACTGAAATTAATTTATTTTTGGTTTTCTCAGACTGTTTCAAAAGCTTTCTGATGAGCATGGGTAAGTTTGATAAAGACATGAAAGGTATTACCCTACCACTTTGTGTATGTTGTTTAACTTTTTTATGCATGCACAATAGCTAAAAACTCTTGCTTGAAGCAACTTGTGCATGCTGCTTTGTAGTTCTGCGCTTGGGCAATATACTTAACAAGTATAGGAAATCCAATAGCTGTGCTTGTGACAGCTTCCTTGTGGCATAAAGCATTGCATATGCGGAGAACAAATTTTAATCACTCATGTTGTTTGGTATTTTAAAATCAGCAGTGGAATTTGTTTTGCTAAAACTTTACACATGGCAACTATATATGCATAAATTGGGTTTTTAGATATTCATCAGATATGCAGTAAGTCTAGTACATGTATTTTATTTTGTTTGAAATAGGGCACAAGCGAGAATTCTGGAGCTGTTTTAAAGATCTATGGTACAGGAAGGTTGGAAGATTTCCCAGCTACTCCAAATGTATCAAACAATGCAAGATAAATCATCTAGAAAGACTCAAGCAAGTCGATAGCAGATAGCTTTAAAGTGAAATTAGTTTAGAGAAGCATTTCTGTTGGGTTGAATTTCTTGTCTCAGCATGTGACATTTAATCATCTTCATCAAAACCTGACATCAAAACTCAACTTTTTGTGAAAAAGGAAGATCCTTGTAGAGGAAGATAATTGAAACTCAGAGGGGCAAGTGATAGTGGATTTTCTTTCGAGATTTTTGAAAAAGTATAGTCTGTTAGAAAGAGATTGCATTTTCTTGATATTGTGTAATTATCCACAATATTGAGTTTGTTATCCACAATAATTTTCTGCACGTGATATAAAAGTTAACTAGAAGAGCAAGGAAGGGCTAGAGAATGGTAAATAAATAAGTATCCAATGAAATAACCATGGGATTGTTAACCAACGTCCAGAGCCTTTGGTTACTAGAGAAAAGGTTTGACCTCTTCCTAAACCTCAGGTGGATATGACATGAAGTCACCAGACAATTTTGTACAACATATTCATGCTTAGGTACGCTGAAGTTTGGAAGGGAAAAAACATGGTCAGGGCTTTACCTAAATGTTTGCCAATATAGTTAACTTGCACAATGCCTTTTAAAATATTATTAGGCCAGATTTAATTTAATACCATTATTTTTTCCCTTTCAGTGTACTCCATTGGTCTTGCAATCCAGTGCCATTCCTTGTCATTCAGGTGGTCGTAGTATTCTTCAACCTAAAGCTAGGTGGTTGGGAGCAGAAGTGACATTCTTCTGAAGCATTAGAATGGGAGAAGGCTGTCATATCTCTCTGACTACGGCTGAGTCTTAAATCTGGAAGAGGTTCTAACAGGTTGCAGAGAATAGGAAATAAAGAACTTGCACAATTTCAGAACCTCTTCTGAATGAATAGATAAACACAAGACCTCTTAAAATTCCATGTTTTTTTGACCTAGTAACTATTTATTGATGGCGTGGAAGAACTCAAACAAGTGTGCAACAGAAATGAGTTTATAGTTTGGTGGCTAGGGCACTCTTACAATATGGAAAACAACTAATATGTAATACTGTCTACTTCTCAGTTGCAAAAATTCCATGGGGGATGAGGGAGGGAATCAGTGCTTGTGCACATGCTTGCGCATGTTGCAAAATATTTTGAAAGGTCTGCGTTATGATGTACAAAACCTGCAGAAAATTGTCATGCAATGCAGCTGTCTTCTGTCTTAATGACTTAATACCGGTGAGAGCAGAGAAGAAAGTAGCACAGGAATGGATGTCAAATATGGCAAGTGAAGTGAAAGAGAAGAGAGCTATGGGAAAATTTAGTAGGAAGAGAGTGGGTGACAATGCAATAATGGAACTTGAAATTGGTATGGACAGCTTAATGAAAGTTGAGAGAGAATAAGATTATTCTAGCTGTTGGACATTAAATCAAAGAGTCAGGAAGGCTGAGAAGGAGGAAATTGGGAAGTCATGGCACGAACCAAACTGCTTTTTGGTTCATGGAGCATGGAGTTGTCTTTAGAAATGTGTGGGTGGCTGCAGCTTGTGTGTGTGAGTGGGGGGGGAGGGATTGAGAGGCAGAGGTGTTCATAATTTGTATGAGAAGTGATAAAATTTTGAAAGCTTTTGTATGAAGAAAGAGAAGGAGGATAATTGACGATGGTTCCATGATTGTGGGCCTGAGCAATAAGTAAAAATGGCAGAACTGCACACATGGAGGGAGAAAATGGGATTTGGGGGTAGAGGAGAATTTGAGTGGAAAGAAGCAGCAGAGATCTGTGAGGAGCAGGCAAATGTGAAGAATCAATTTGAATGATTAATACAAAGCTGCAACAAAATCACAGGAGCTGCTGCTTACCTTTTCTAGTCTTATTAGAACAAAGATACTGTTTATTGACATGAGCACTGGCATTGTTACACATCCCAGCCTGCACGTTCAGCTACTTGTCAAGGCTTTGTATGTTTTTACTATTTCGTGCTCCATTTAAAACTGCTCCCTCCAAGAGCTTCATCTTATTAACATAAATCCCTTCCTTTCAAAAGTTCCACTTGAGTAAATATTGGCACAAATAAATCTAAGCATAACAATGCTTTTCCTAGGAGTAAGTCTTTGACTGATATCAGCGCAGATGAACTGCAGTCAATGCGCAAGATTCGTTTTGAAGAGCTACAGAAAATAAAAGTCCAGCTACAAGAACAAGACCAAAGGTGGCAAGATGTAAGTGTTCCCTGCCCCCAACCTCTGTGCACATACACCTCTAAGGGCATGCAGTTTCTGTCCTGTGTTACTTGAGAGGTGCTGAGTACATTCAACTTCACTTAATCTGTAGGCTGTTGTGTCCACTCTGTATTTCACACAACTGAGTCCAAAAAGACTCAGTCCAAACAATTGCCCTAGCCTAGATTATTAGAAGAAGGGATGAAATCTGATGCCTTAATTCTTCTACTGCATCTTATTGAACTCTGCCAGGTAAAAATTTTTCTATTGTAGCCTTTGAGGACTAAACAGTAAATACCAGCCTGAAGGCTGCTTTCTGTGTATGACAATAAGGCCAAGTGCAGAATTTGCACAGAAACCAGTATAAGTGATTGGAAACCAGTCTAAACCTGCAACAGAACAGAAGTTCAGCACATATAGACCAGTTTCAAAATAGTGGAACCTGGGCTAAGATAGATCTGGATGGATGTAGTACTAGACTTAATCAGTTTAGGTCAGAGCAGTATATTGAACTTCTGTACCATATCCCATAGCAAATCACCTTTCTTCACTGTCCTCTGGCATCACAGGTGCCCCTTGCAGGGCAGTGTGCTAGCCTTGGCTGGTGCTTATCTGCAAAGGGTGAGCACCGGGCCAGCCTTGCTCCCAAGCTGGCACAGATAGAGCCTCTGTCTCCTGCCTGAGCAGCTGAGTGGGGGAAGGACAGGGTGATAAGAGCCATCCTGCACATGGCCCTGGTCCTGAGCTGGCACAGCAGGTGGGGTGGGGAGAGCTCTTCCCTCCGCTCATCACTCCCACCCAACCCACTTGACAGCTGTAGCCAGGAGCCAGCTTAGAGCCAAACTGTCTGCCATGCCAGGAGTTAGGAGCAGAGAGGTGGGAAGCAGAGACCCCTGCTG